ATTTAATCATCCAAAACGTTATGGAACACATTAATTAACTGAAAAATGTTGCATAGTGTGCCTTTAAAAGACAAATATTTCTTGAAAGAAAAAAATGATGGTAGCTATGAAGAAATTTATCAAAAGGAACTGGTTTAAAAATGAGCCACCAGTGGTAAAACAATTCTCTTGCAAGATTATTGGCAAAATAAAGAGTAAAAAGAAATTAAGGAAAGTCAGATGGTGCAAAGAGCTTCTACAAAAAGTTAAGACATTTGCAATTTATTCAGGCTGTGGGAAGGTGATGAAAAAAATAACTATTTTACTGAAACCTGTCTTAACCAAGAATTAGTATTAAGAACACCCAAAAAGCTACTGCTTACGCATCATTAAGAGGCTAAGCAAGAGTTATTATTCACAAAGAAAAAAACCAAACATGGTGGAACAGCTGGTAACCATCCTACCTGCCAAATTTACTTCAAGAACTGCAGGCCTCAATTTCCTTAGTTAGGGTCGAGCTTAATAAAGAGCATTTGAAAAAGAGACTGCATTAAATTGCTTGCATGGGAGATTATAAGGTAAGAACCAATGATGACCAAAGAGAAACCCATCTAACCTTTGGGGGGAAAAACACTCTTTTGTGCCAAGAATAACCACTCTAATCATGCTAATTGCTGCAACATCCTTAAAACAGTTAAAAATGTCAAGCCCAGTATCACTTTTTTTTCTTTTGTGCTTGTAAAACCCTGCTTTACAGATACTGCCCTCATCACTTCTGTTCCTGATTTAGGTAATGACAGCTCAGGCAGAGAAGTAAAAAAAAAAAAAAAAAAGCAAAAACTCTGAGAGATGTTCTTATTTGTTAGTAGGAAAAAGTTTAATAAAAAAATCACAAAAATTGAGAATAGTACATTGTTTTTTTATTGGTACCTAAGTCTCTTAAATAAACTAAGACATTTTTTACACTTTTAGGAAGTAACCTTGCACAAATTTCAAAGCAGTGGATTTTCTTAAATATGCAATGGAATTAAAGCAATGAAGGCTAATTACAAGCATTCTTCACTGAATTAGCGTTCGGTGTGTGGTAAGGCTGTGCTCCCCTTGGTCTTGATCCCTAAACCGATCCCATACTTATTCCCCCAGGAGGTCAGAGGTCACTTGGTTAATTAAGGGTCCAATCAGTCTTTAGATAAACTCATCTGAGCTTAATGTTTGCACTCTCTACGGTTCAGCAGCTCTGCCTGGTACCCCTGAGCTCTGTGTGGACTCTGCTAATCTACCTACAGACAGGGAGCAGGTTAACCCAGCTCAACAGTGCAAAACTGGAACCGCCTTTTGATTTTGAAGACCTCAGTCAGAGAAGAATTTCTGTAAGCTCTGCCAAATGCAGAGAAATTACTCTAACTTTATGTATTATACTCAGGGTGAGAGTTCAGAGTGGGGGCGTCCTAAAGCTCTCAAAGACCTCCAGATTATGGAGAGCAGGTCTTGTTTATCCTGAAAGGAGAAGGTAATCACTTCAACGTATTTGTTTTCAAAGTTGACCCATGCAACACAAACCCAGTGTGAACAAAATATGAGCACACAACCTCCAAATGTTTGTTACAGATGGATTGAGTATTTCCCTGTAACTTTAAAGGAAATTCTCCATCTTCAAAAATTTTAATAATTTGTTTTCCTTTAGAGATCATGATAAGTATCACTATTTTAAAACAGAAATTGGACATTTCATTGGAAAGGCATCATTGTAACTGGAAAAAGTAAAAAATGTCTACCTTTTAATACATTGCATTTATTTATAATGAAAGAAAACTAGGGAGAAAACCCCTGTGTTTTACATACTCACAGTTAATTAAATTAATGCAGCTAACTGTCCTGATTAAAACATCCAACTTAAGTGTTTTTTAAAAATGTATACTTTGTTGTTAGTCAATTATTAATCTGGGATTCTTCCTAAACCAGGATGTAAATGTTCTGCATCACAGAAACAATTTCTCTTATCCATTTTTAAAAATGGGAAAAGAGATGAAAAACCTCCAAACATTAAGGCAGAACTTGACTATAATGACAGTCATGGAAACGGTCTGTGAATTATCCATGTGAGATTGTGCAACTGGAAAAGGCAATTAACTCTAATACTTTTTACAGATCTTTACTAGCGTACTAATAAATGTGGAACGCACTGAATTGACATACTTATCATTTTGTGCAAACAAATACAAATTTTTACTTTTCAATAGTCAATTTTTATCTTTACGGCTTCTAAAATGTCTATGTGAATTTGATACAGCGTCAAATCCATGACTGACAAAGCATATGATTATAATTTCTATGGCAGTGATTAAATTAAGAAAAAAACATTACTAATGCTGAATGAAATTGAATCCTCTCAGCAAACTAACTTTAAGAAGACTAATATGTTATGCACTTTCTGACACATAAACTTCTATATATGTTGTATATTTGATATATTTGATACAAGGGAAAATGTAAATGGTTCCAAAAAAAACACCATCAAATATACAACATATAAAAGCTAACTCCTTCATAAATAATTGGAAAAGTTATTTTCCCAATAAAACACTCAAGAAAACTGCAAGTAATGTTCTAGTAGCATTCTGTGTCCAAAAAAACTTTCCAAAAATCACAGCCACATGCAAATGTTTTTCATATCATAGAAATAAATGTGCATTAAGGCAAAAACATACAAGTAAATAGTATAGGAGCATATTTATAAAAGAAGGATCAAAAAGTGTAGATGGCGATGAGATTTTCAGTAGGGTTTACGTTTATGCAACACAACTCAACACATTTTCCAAGGATATTCATTGTTAAAAGAAATCGCTAAAAAAAAGAAATAAGATTTTAAAAATGCACGGTGGAATACGTTGAAGAATAAAACTTACCTATATGCTTGATGGAAATGTAAAAGCAAAACCCACTGCTCTCTACTGAGACAGAAAATCTGAACAGTCTTCTGTCCCTCCGACTGCGAGGGAATCAAAGCTACGAAAAGATGTGAACGTAGCTGAGCAAATAGGATTAAAGATGGCTAAAACCAAACGGCTGGAAGCACAGCGTGCATTAAAGAGGAATTCTCTCAGGAAAGATAATCCCCATATTCACATTTTAACACACTTCACTCACTCCTGGGTGATTTTTCTTTTAGATTTTTTTTTTCAGCCAGTTGTAGTAAAACCACAACTGCCTGACTGCCCACACTCGAGTCACCAGCATCTATTAATACAACTGGACCCTTTAGACTGGGGCAGTGACGCATACAACTTCCAGAGATGGAAACTTTATACAGAACCAAGCCTGCTAATTAAAAAAAGCTGACACACTCCACCTCCTTCCTTGGAGCGAATGCCGCGTACCTTAAGCACCTCCATTGGCACCTGTGCTCCTTCAGGTACACCGACAGGGACGCTGACATTGATGGCAGGGGTCTGGGTCGCTGTGGTTTGTGAGTAATGGGAGGACTGTTGTCTTTGCTGCTCCCGCCGCTCCTGCTCTTGAAGCTGCTCCCGCATTAGCTGTTGCCGCAGCAGGATGCGAGATGTCACAGCCGAGGAGCTCAGTGGGGGCTTGGAGGAGCCATGCTGGTCCGATGGGCTGCTGTGGAGAGGAGGGGTAGAGAAAAGATGTCGAATGAGTGATTCCCAGAGAGCCTGACTACAAAGATAAGATGAGTGAAAAGATGGAGAGTTGAAGGTGCTATTAGAGGGAGTGTAGACTAAGGTCATGCGGGGAAGAAGAGGTCAAGCAGAGAAAAAAGAAAGGGATGGATAAAAGGAGGGCACAAAATGATAAAAAAAACAGCAGACAAAACAAATGACTGAAAAAAACTTTTTTTTTTTCCTTTCTGCTCTCCTCCCTGTACACCAACAGCTGCACCTCGGGTCACCAATTTGTCTAGGTCCTGAATTTTGCAGCTGACACAGCATTACTAGAATCATCTCTGGGGACAAAGGGTCTGTCTACAGGTAGGAGACTGGTGCAAATGGTGCAGCCAATGCAATCTGGAGCTCAATGCTCTAAAAATGGTAGAGATAAACTTTTACAAAAGCACAGCCCCATCCATCTCTATGAGTCTAGTCACCACTGTGGACTCCTGCCTCCTGAACATCATCATCACATAGGATCTCAATTGAGAGCTGAACATCATCTCACTCACAACAAGGCACAGCAGAGGATGCACTTCCTGCAGCTACCAAAGTTCTTTCTGCCAAAAACAACAATGGTGCACTTCTACTCCAACATCAGTGAGTCCATCCCTCTCTCCTGAAAAGCAGCAAGATCAAGAGCAGACTGTAGTGTATTTCTGCAAAAAAGGTAACTGGCTGCAATCTTCCTTCTCTTCAGGAACTGCATGCCTCCAGGACTCGGAGGTGAGCAGGTAAGATTTCAGCTGACCCCTCCACCCTGGACACTACATGTGGAACTTTGGACTCTAGTACAGGCTGGACTATGCCAGGCCTTCCCCCATCTTCTGATCCTGTTTGTGGAATTCAATGAAAGTTTAAATATGGGCAGTAGCTTGCTTTGCTTGGAAATCTAAGTGACTGATTGTCAGGCCTGTTTCACAGTGTGATCCTAGAATGTGCAACTGGGAGGATACACCAAGGCAGACCCAAAACCTTCTGGAGGGATTGTATATCCATTCTGAATCAACCTATACTGAGCCTGAAAGTGTTTAAAGGGAGGGGATTTTATTGTAGCACGGGGTAAATATATTTTCAAACTCTGAATAGATTCTCATATTAATTTTTCAGATCGAATCATATCACGAAATACTTTTTTCCCACTGTCCTTACACAGCAGTTTCACTACTGTTATTTATTAACTTGCTGTTTAATGTCATTATCCTACAGTATGTCATTAATATCATTATGTTGCATAGCTAAAGAGTCTTGTAATTCGGGTAACAGTTAATTTGTTCAATACCAGCGGCAATCCAGTTTAATATTGGATCAAATTAAGTTGCAACCAACAGTCAGGGAAAAGGATGTACCCTCCAACATCCAATGTGAACAAGAAGAACCTCCATCATGCGGCAGAGAAAACGATGGATGGATGGATGGATGGATGGATGGATGGATGGATGGATGGATGGATGGATGGATGGATGGATGGATGGATGGATGGATGGATGCGTCAGGTCTGTTTCTTTTTTTCCTAATTCTTATTTAAAGGACCCATTTTTCATAAACATTTGAGATTTTAAGAACACATTTAGGAATATCTGCCTACAGGGCTCAGAAAATGTATCACAAAAATGCCACCACTCCAGTTTCAGGGTCTGCAATATGCATATTGCAATGTACTCTTTGGAGGGCAGTAATTGCAGGCTAAAACATCCTGAATGTAATTAACTATCATTTCACATGCTAATGTAATGTTTAGCCAGTACCACAAAGTCCAGCAGCAGAAAAGGCTTACAATGGACACAAATGCAATATTTACCAATACTGTCATGCAACATGGCTGCTCTGTGGAGCAGTGGGTAGCACTGCTGCCTTCTAGCAAGGTTGTGGGTTCAATTCCCAGCCCAGGGTCTTTCTGCATGGAGTTTTCATGTTCTCCCTGAGCATGCGTGGGTTCTCTCTGGGTACTCCGGCTTCCTCCCACAGTCCAAAAACATGACTGTTAGGTTAATTGGCTTCTCTAAATTCTCCTTAAAAATGGGTTTGAATGGTTGTTTGTCTCTGTGTTGCCCTGAAATGGACTGGTGACCTGTTTGGGCCCTTGCTGGAGATCATATCACCCTGACCCTCTGATTGCCCATTTCTAAAACTAACAACAGATTTTTAACTAAGTCAAACTACAACTTGGACGTAGTCATACACGATATAAAACATAGGGTAATATAACTAAAGAGATAAAGATTATCATAAATTGTTTACATACTTTAATTCTGGGAACCTTTTTGAATCACTTTTAGAATGCTTAGATCCTTTCCATCAACAACCTCATTGTTGGTGGAAAGGATGTGGGCAGCTCTTCCCCTTGGCTGTACAGAGCTCAGTTAAAAAAAACAAAAACATTTCCTCTTCAGAATTCACTAATTAAATATATTGAAGATGGGGGCTTGTTTGTCTAAAAAGCAAGAGTACTTGATAATCTAAAAAGATCAAAATTTTATTTTTCGATTATATAGAAACTACGGTAATCAAATAACCAGTATTACGTAGGTCTGATGTTGTACAGTCCTGCTAAAGCAAACATTGACAGTAATACTTTTTTTAAAATAAACAGCGCATTACTGCATTGCTGCCTAAAATCAGAGGAAAAAAACTAAAAGGGCATCTGTATGTGCAGTATAATCTCTGAAAGTGTATGCCTGTCAGTTCAGAACAAATGATGAAAGGGCTATTTCAGAATTTCTAAGAAATATGCTATCTGCCTTTATTTGGAAAGATCAAACCTTTACTTCAAAGCTTTTCAAAAAGGGTTTCTTAAAACACACAATGAAACCTTTATTATACTAGTGAAAACCTGAAAGGAGCAATTATTAATGTTTTTTTATCCATTAACTCCATCTCAAAATTAGACCATTAAAAAACAAGACAGACAAATCAAACCTGCTCTAAATGATCCTATACTGACTGAAGATTCTTTCAAAAATACTTTCCAATCCTTTAAACTTTGACCTTTATTTGTGAAATAAAAAAAAAAAAAAAAAAAAAAAACAATTTTCAGTTTCTGCAAACTTTGCTCCAATTTCATCTTGCAATCCCAATATCATGATTGATCTCTTTGTCGGACTCTTTTTATTGGAAAATGAAGGAAGTCGGTAGAGGGTTTTATGCAAGAATGTTTTTCTGGACCATTTTCTACCCTGCGTGTTTCCTTTGTGAGCATATTTTTATAACTGTCTAATACAAACATAACTTTGGTTGGAAAAAAAACAAAAACATGCAACATTTCTCAGATGAACTGCTTTTGTCATTTTTGAGACTTATTGTTTTAAGATAGTAGAAGTTAGCTTTTTTTTAGCATGTCAGTCAAGCTTAGTTTCAGCAGCCTCTGGGTCTGACTAAACTGGATTTATTCTAAATAAGGAAAGAAAGAGAGCCATCTAACACAGGTTAGTTATTAACAAAATTAAAAAAATCTAACATGTCTCTCCCTAAATACTATTTCTTAAAACTCCTCATTAAATGTATCCTAAAAAAAGGTCATTTCTTAAAAGACAAACCATTTTCTGAGAACACTGAACTGTTTTAAGCATAAACTTAACAAAGTTTAAGATTCACAGATTTTAACCTCTGCGAAAGAGGAACTTTAAAGAACAGGCTTCTTCAGTTTTCCCACTCTCTTAAATTTAGACGGCTGCTCCCCAGACAAAGTCTAGCAGTCCTAAAATAGAGAGACTCTGTTGAAGCAGAAGTTGTCGGGACGAAGCCTTCATCGAGTGAGTGATCCTTTTGATACAACACCGTAAAAAGTCTGGCCAATCCAGCTGTGCAGTAATCGCACTAATTAGCCAGATCGGTCAAACACCGCCTCTGTCTGTGGCATATTCACTGGCTGTTGAGCCGTCAACGTGCTATAGTTCTCTTCCAGCACCACGTATAGTCTCACGGTCTAATACCTCACGGACTGACCTGTCCTCCGGTAATCAGAGGGAGACAATTAGAGCCAAAATAGTTCATATTAAAGAACAAAAATTAAAAGGAAAAGCTGAATTTCAGCTTGGTCTTAAAGCTCTGCAGAGGTTTAAGTCGTTCAATCTGACAGTCATTTCCTTTTTCTACAAAAGTTCCTTTGAACTGTTTTTGGTACATGGCATCAGCCTCTGAGTGTTTGGCTTTAGGCGACTGTGTTTCCTTTTATTCAAGAAATTTCTAAATAACGATTCAGGATCTACGACTGAAACTTTTTGTTTCCACTGAAGGCTTTTTGTTCTCTTTAATTCTTTAATCTGCTTCTCTCTTTGAATGTTTAAATTCCTAAAACAGTCCAACTCTTTCATTTCCTTTATTTCCTCTTTTCTTGTGATTACATGGAACAAATTGCAAAAATATTACAAACTTTAACATGTTTATCTGAGGTAGTAATATAAAACAATAATTACTACTACATACTTCAAATAAAATAATATAAAACCGATCACTACAGTTTGGGGATATTTTATTGTTTTGATTTTTATTCAAATGACAAAATTAGTCTTTTAGAACAGATGGAAATCTGTCTTCTTTTCTCAGCCACCTAACCACCAGTCTAAAGTAACACATGGGGAAACACAGATGGCTTTCCTTTCCTATAAGTTTTAATAATTGAGAATAAACTGTTGTAATCTTAGCCTTCTGTGCTCCTCTATGTGAAGAAAAATTGTTTCTTGTATTTGCCACTTTGTGGTTTTACCAGGGATGTGCTAGGGAAGGTGACAATATGAAAATGCAATCCATACCCAAACTCCTCTTTATACCTCCTAGATACAGTGTTGATTTTTTTTAGAGTTTATAGGGATTGAGCAATTCCAATTAGTTTGCAAATGAAGCTACTACTACACCACCCATGGAGGTACATTTTTAGCTTGAGGCTTCAATTAGCCAACTATGAACTTCTCTGATCTGATGCATAGCCTTTCCTAAAAACTGTGATGCTGAACT